TTCTGATGGGTTATGTGAAACAGACAAAGTTTAGGGGGATTATGTGCAACACCCCCCAAAATTTAGGTGGGTTTTGTGGAATTTACCCTATAATTTATGTATAGAAGAGAAAGCTTCAATTCTTTAGCGGCATAGTGGTTATTCCTATATGGGTCTCGCCATTGTCATAACCGAAAATTTGAGAAAAAACAAAGAAGTCATGGTCATCTTACTACAAAATTCTCAACATACTGCTATTTTGAATATTGCTTCACAAGGCTGCAAATTTCTATTTAAGGAAAAAAAAAAGAGAGGCAGTTTTGCACATAGCCAAAGCCACAATGCATCTTTCACGGGTAATATCAGTATACTTCCGGGAAAGAAAGATTAATTAGTCTTTTGAAAGAAATGAATCTAAACTCAAATGGATACATGTGGGTGTTTGAGCTATACATAGAATATGTCCAACAAAATTACGCAAATAGGTAATTCATGTCATGGTAATGACACTCAACATTGACAAAATTCACCTGAATTTTTCCTTTACCAAAGGTTCTGTGCCCTACGAGAATAGCACGGCCATTATCACGTAGTGCTCCAGCCAAAATTTCACTTGCACTTGCGCTTCCTTCATTCACCTATTTCAATAAATTATGAGAAAAGTGGTCTTATTTTAAAAATAATTAAAAGCATAATTTGCTACGCAACAATAAATCTAAGTTTTTAAGTCAGCATGGACTGTTAAATTCTAATTGGTCAGTAAAATAAAAGCACTTGAATCAAAATCTGTAGAATTCCAATGTCAAATTAGAAAAAAATATAACCTATAGATGAAGTAACAGTAAATATATTGTCAACGTCACCATTTCTATCAAATCTGTTCAGTTGTGGAAGAAGGCTGCATAACTATTCGACAAGTTCTAGAGTTTACTATCAAGTGAACCATAAAACTAGTACCAAATTCCTTTCCAAGTAAATTATGAACGCCAGGAGAAGCTCGTCATAATTATAAAAATCTAGTCGGGATCCTCCAACCTTTCTTTGCATAGCTAAGAGGTTTAGAAGGAGAAAGAAGATAGGTAATTACATTCAATTAAGGACACAGATACAAGTTAAGAGAAAGAAAGTCAGAAATCATACAAAGGAAAAATGTTTAGACCCCAGCTAAAAAGAAAATCCAAAAAACCCGAAGCACGGGTCCGGGGGCTCTTTTTCTTGTTTTTTTTTAAAGTAATAAGGAAAATTTTAGTTATAGTTTAAATGTATAGTCACTTGAGAATGGAATAATTTCAATTCATACGCTATTTTCTTTTCAGGGAATGTAATCAGGTATTATATTATTATATATGAATTCTCAATTAGAACATATATAAAATCAGTTAACTTGCATAACTCCTACCCTGATGCTTACTAGACTATGAAGGCAAGAAGCAGACAGAAACAGTACTATAAGATTGTGACCACAACTTACAAGCACAACAAGTGGGTCATGGGTTAAGGCATGACCATTCACCATGTTGATCGGTAACATATTTCCCTCCCTGTCAATTGTATTGACCAAAGTTTCATCTCCATCTAACCATATTTGAGCAACATCAAGTCCAGCTTTCACCAAGCCTCCCTGCAGTTTACGGTACAAATTAATTTTAGCTTGTGTGGTGCGTGACTAAGATAATTACATCTTTTTACAAACACCGAGAACTTACTAACCGGATTATTACGTAAATCCAGTATGTATGACTGAACTCCTTGGTTTTCCATATCTTGAATAGCACTCTCCATTTCAGCAGCAGCAGTCTGCTCAAAAGTAAGTAATCGTAGTCATGTTGGAAGAACAGCGTGTCACGTGGAAGCTTTGCTATTGGAATATATAAACCCTCAAAGACAGATATCATAGTTACAAGGTGTCAATCAAGAAATCCTTGCCAAATCCAAGGCACACCTAATGAGTCTCTCTTCGTTATCTGGCATAGCAAAGCTCACTACAGAATGCGTAGTTCCATTGTTTAATCAATACAAAAAAATACCACTGAAAAAGACTGGCTGAATCCTCAAAAGGTAATAAATTTGTTCTTATCGAAAGGGTTGAATTTTATCTCCTCAGATCGGTTTCACTTCCCCCTCCAGTAAAGAAGAGAGAATAGTTTCACTGAGTACCTGGGAGAATGCAGATAGCCTCACATATCCAGTCTTCAACTCATTTCCCTCACCTGATCTATGAGAGATGATTCTACTGGAGATAGGGGACAGCTTAATTACTTCGCGAGGCAGGTTTACCTTCAAAAAGAAATTGAACGGTTACAGTGAGAATCCACTTACACAGTTGTAGGCTAAGAAAAGAAACATATGGATGGGTAAAATGGAACAATCTTCACATCTACAGGAAATCATATCACATCTTAGATCTCCTCCAAGTTTCAGATAGAAAGGAAATAGAAACTGATAACATTGATAAAATATACAGTTCTATGACAGGGTAAAAGTAATGGACAGTACCTCTCTAACACCCGACATGCTTCCACCATCTGTCCCCTGCAAAGTTGAGCTTGCATTATTAAGCATACGTATATCTCATGTTGTAAGAGAAGCAAGAAAATAATAAACCTTCCTAAAAAATTATTGTTCTTTAGGTTCGATTCCTCCTTTAATTGAAGATATAGATAAAAATAATTGCTACGAGTTCTAACCAGTTCTTGTACTATATGTGAAAATACCAAATTAGAATTGGGAATTGAAAAACAGTAATTAATAGACATTAGCAAAATAGTTGGAAAATAGAGCTTATACTGAAACAACAAGATATAGAGAAAAATAATGCATCCATGGTTTTAAAATGAAATGTAGGATTCCATGTGGAAGCGTTGGCCACATTTTTCTCAATCTCAAGGGGCTTTAGTACTCAATCTAGAACTTTTATGCTCCCTTTCAATAGAAATCATCCACATCATGAGAATAATTTAATTCATGATGACACAATAACTTCAATTATGTTTCACCAAACATCTCTTTTATTCACTCTAATATGGGTTTTTTCACTTACTTGCAACAAGTTACTTAAAATGCCTAGAAAACGACTTACTTTTAAGGAGTAGTTCACAGTTGCAAGATGAAGGAAAATTGTGAAAACTTACACTGTAAAGCTTTACTCTAACAGTACTGCCTGCACGTCCCCGAAGCTTCTGAGCTGCAGTTTCACCATTTATTCCAGAAACGTTCTCTCCTAAATATATAACCAAAGTTTCCTGAGAACAGTTAATTTCCTGCCATCTGCATGCATATAAGGGGGAAAAAACGCTCATGCGGAAGTGCCACTTGTATCTTTCTTTGCTATTTACCTGTTGAGAAGATTGAGAGGGTAGAATAGTTCTTTTTTTTTGGTGGTTGGCTTTGCTTAGCATGAAGAAGGTGGGGAGAATGTACTTCTGTGGATATAATTGAGTTATTCTTAGGCTTGTCTAATAGTTTTAATATCACTAACTAAGAACGAATCTCCAAGCAGAAAGATCTACTCATAACAGTCACCAGATATTTAGTGTTCTTGAATCACAAATGATAATCTGTTACTATACTATAACTTCTATCGCAAGAAGTTTTTGATCTCCCCATATCAACGAAAATTAGCACTTTGATTTTACGACCGGGGACCAAGCAATAAATTAAGTACTACTGTACTAGCATCTATATAATTTGTTTCCTCATAAGGGCCATAAATGCTGCAGAAACTAGGAAGGAGTGAGAAATGCAAATTACAGGAGCGAATTCATTCCACCTTGGGGGATGAATTGATGGAAGTGGATAATGACACTGCAATGAAGAGGATCTAGGAATTTAAAAGACTTGAACTTGAGTGGAGAGGGTTGTACAAGTGAATAATATTACATAATAAAAGAGAAGAAATTGGAAAATATGACTTTTCAAAAGCCTACATTTTCTCAAAGAATAGTTGTAGTATGAACAGGAACAAGATTTCTATACCTGAAGATAAAGAAGTAGAATACAACTAGCTAGTTATGCTTAATGGAACTTCTTTACAGAATACCTCAAATTTTCATATCCGTTCCATTGACAAGTATAACCTTGCGTTGTATTGATAATATTAGTACATATCAATGACTCAAATAAGTAGCATATGAAATATAATTCCTTCTGCAAGCCATGGCTGAATAGTGGCTAATAACAGATTGATTTCTCTGACATATCATGATTGTATTATGTATAGGAAAAAAATAATGCTAAGAAGTAAAAAATAATAATATAGCATGAAGGAAACTAAACTACCCCTAGGTAGGCAATGTGAAATAAAAAATACATAAGGAAGACAAAAAATGAACCAGTTTTTCCTTCTTTAAATTCTCTTTTTTCTCTTGATATTCAAGACAGAATAAAGAACTATTTAGCATTTCGAACCACTACACAGGATTCATACCTAGAGCTCTTATCTACACAAGAGGGCACTAATGCCAATCTATGCCTTCTCTAAACAAAAGAGCAACCAACTTGATCTGTATATCATTTAGTTAAGCATGCCTCTTTAAGAAACATCTTTCTGAATCCTGAACATTAATAGCACCAAACAAAGTGTTCAAAGTAATTGCCCATGCCGATGCATGAGAGATTCTTTTAGAAGAAATGAGAAAAGAAAGAGAGAAAAATTGACAGATTTTGATACAAGCTAGAAAGATTTATACTGTAACTTACCATCTATCTCTACCAATTCATCCCCTTCATGTATGCCAGCTCGGGCTGCTGGGCTGCCCTCAACACAAGATAAAACAACCTGCAATATGATGGTCACTTATAAAAATGTGCATGATCTATGTTTCATGATAAAGTTCTGATAAGTCGCTCTTAACAACAAGATTTATCTGACAGAATCACAACACTTCAAGTTTCAAGACCTAAACATAAAGCTATAAAAAGGATGGGAGAGGATTTATTTTTTGGACACATTAGTGCACGTCATCTATTATCTATTACTATTATTTAAGAAAACCTACACTTTTAGTTCTACCCATATGTGTGTCAAGATTTCGAAAAATTCAACATATGTCCTCAACAAATTATAGTACGTTGAAACTAATTAAAAGGACAAAATTGGAAAGATATGAAACATCCTAACTAACATCCACTACTTGATAACTCCCGCCCACTTCCCATATTTTCTAATATTAAGATATTTTATATTACTTTCGGCAATAATTTGTTAAAGACTACTCATATAGCATTGACACTATGTCTGAGCATCACTTCTGCAGTATAAACACCCAAGAAACTGAATTACAGGCCAAATGACATGTTACACTACAATATAACCAAGTATGTAGCCTATGTATCACTACTGTTAACCAATGTATTACAAAGATCAGGTAGCTGATTAAGTAATTGATATATATATAGGCTCTTGCAGACTGCATCTGATTTCAGTGCCACTATCATATGCCAACAGAAATTAGAGAATAGTAGTGTTATTTACCAGGTGTCCCGTTCTTGGTTCAACATTTATGAAAAGTCCTACTCCTTGCAAATTCCCATCACTGCCAATCCTGAAACTTTGATACTCCTGCAGGGTTACAAACAATATTTGTCAGATCGTTGACATGTTGAATCCCACAAAAGCAGGTGAATTATCCAGCAAGCTTGTGTATTCTATTCAAATGTTACAAACTTGATAAGCTCAGTCTGGAAGAATTTGTAATTTTTATTTTTTTATCCATTGTGTTGCTGATGATAAATATAACATAATCTATGCAAGGCACATGCAATATATTTCTTTCCTTGTGTTTAACTAAATGGTAAACATATGGGAAAACTCCCCAGCAAGATCTTTTAGATTTGATATGTACTTCCATTGTAATATCTTTAAAACACATACATAAGTCAGGAAAATGCGGTAAAAGGGGGAGAAAAACAAAACAAAATCTTGCTTTAACTTTTGAACCTTTGGACTAACGATTCTTGTGAAAGGATCACCAAGAGTTGCAAGCATTCCACTGATTTTGTTATATGCTGCATCTGCTGATTTTAGTGGGAACATTTCCACCATTGTCTGTTGCAGCTTTAAATCCCAGTCTGCATAACAAGTCTATTGTAAACAAAAGGGTAGCTGCAATATGATTTAAGCGTCTACATGCAAATCTTAATAGACATCTTATTGGAGTTTAAGGAATTAGGATGATTCAAGAATTAAGAAGCATGAAGATATAAAAAATGCGTACAAAGTGGATAGACGGCTGTGTACCTACGTCCAATTTGGATTCACACTTTATAAAATTAGAAACATGATACATAAAAGACATTAACTCAACCAAGAAGTAATATTTCACTCTTAGAGACCAACTAACCATTTCAGAAGGTAAGACTGCACATTTGTTTTACCTTTTTGGGGGGAAGGTTTACCACACCAAACCAATCTAGAACTTATATGTGATCAAGCTTGTTATGCACTCTGGTAACTTCAATATAAATGGATAGGGAATGACCCAAAAAGCACCATAAATGCAGCACTTTAAAGGTTTTTTTTGCCACCAAACGTCTAACCTATTGAAGTTTGTTACTGATTAGACTATGTCCGTCCTACCATCAACAGTCCTGCTTAATGGCGAGCTGTTTTAATATGTTAGTTTCCACCTCGAAGTTTAATTCCTTGACAGGGGATTCAGAAAGATTCCAACTTTCAGAAAATATTGATAGGCCTGCTGTGATTTGGGGTTAGACATATGCAGCTTTTGCCCCACATCATGCTATGGTTGTTTCCTTCGCTAGAAAATCTCGTAACACATTGCAGCAACCTAGCCACTGAGTCTAAAATTTCCATTGTATGTCATCAAAATCATGGTGCTATTATGAATTCACAGGTAGAAGGTAGTTTGAAGAAGATATTACTGTTCTTTTTGCAGCAGACAATCAATATTGAAGGTTATTAATTTGACACCGACACTCATTTTGGTTGGTGTGTTCTTTAAATGGGAAAAATGAAAGGAGTAACTCTGGATTTCTCTTGCTTATCTAATGATCATAACAGTCAAGGCTAATTAAGTCGTTAGTAACTATATCACCCTTTAATTAGCAGAGAAGAAATAACAAAAGTATTTAACTCATTTCCACAGAATACTACTAAATCGAAGTAGCTTAATTATCTATCATGAGTTCAAAATCAAGCAAAAAGAACAACACTGCATACCTTGATGGTTGAAAGTGGGATCAATGAAGGTCTCCCGAATCAAGCCCCAAGTCTCCACCAAAGTCTTCTGAACCGTATTCACCTAAACCACAAACAACAAAAAGTATCATCAAGCTGCAACCTTTTCTAAATCACCTACAAGAATGTTCAGACTTTATCATAGTAGACCATAAATTCGTTTTTAAATTGTATATGGGACTCCCAAATGTTCATATCTCTAACTTATGCCTCCTGTTGGTCAAAAACATCAAGCCACAAAGGTGCAGCCACCTTTTGTTGAAAAACAAAGAAAGAAGCACCGAAAGAGAGAGACAACCACCATTGTTGACAAATCAGGAAGGGTGGCAGCAGGTGTTGACAAAGAGAGTGAGGGCTCACTTTCGGTGATTGACAGAGAGGGGGATTTGAAGCCTATAAAGCCCCCTCCCCTCTCTTCCTCTGAAGGTGTGCGAGGAGTATCCTTGAAGCAATCCTTGACAGAGCCATTTGAGTGAGAGCAAAAACAAAAGAGAGTCTGCTAAAATTTTGTATGTACGTTGTATTTGAGAGATTGAATATAGTGAAAGCCCCCTCTTGCCGTGGACGTAGATCAATTTGATCGAACCACGTAAATATTGTGTTTGTGGTTGTCTCTCTATTCTCTGGTTTAGTGGGTGATTTCCCCAACAAACTGGTATCAGAGCTTCTCGGTTCTAGGACAGCTTTCAATCCTACACAATGGCTTCTGTGAAGTTCTCGGTGTCGATCTTTGATGGCCAGAACAATTTCGGCCTATGGAGGATAAAGATGAAGGCTTTGTTGCGACGTGAAGGCACGGTTAAAGCTATCGATGGAAAATACCCAGAAGATATGACTAGTGCCAAGATCGAAGAGATGGACGAAAAGGCTCACAGCGCCTTGCAATTGTCACTATCCGACAATGTGCTTCGTGAAGTTGCCGATGAGGAAACGACAGCGGGGTTGTGGTCAAAGCTCGAAAGTCTCTACTTGAAGAAATCTCTTACTACGAGATTATACCTGAAGCAGCGGCTATACACATTGAAGATGAAAGAAGGTACACCCATTCAAGAACACCTTGATGAATTTAATAAAATTATCATGGATATGAAAAACCTGGATCTTAAACTTGATGATGAAGACCAGGCTCTCATTGTGTTATGTTCATTGCCTAACTCTTATGAAAACTTTGTTAACTCTATGTTGTATGGAAGAGAATCCATAAGTCTTGAGGATGTAAAGGCCTCTTTGAACTCTGCTGAGTTGAGAACAAAGTTGAATGAGAGAGGTACCGATAAGCAGGCTGATGGTCTGCTAGCCAGAGGTAGAATGAAGACCAGAGAGGGTGATAAAGGGCAATCCAGAAATCGCTCAAAGTCCAGGTCAGCCCCAAACAAGAAAAATGTGGAGTGTTTCTACTGTCACAAGAAAGGGCATTACAAGTCAGAATGCTATGCTCTAAAGAAGAAAGACAACGAGCGTGGTGAAACCTCAGATTCAGCTAATACGGCAAAGGCTGATACTGCCGTTGTTGCTGAGACGGTTCTTACAGTATGTCCCTTGGATGGCCGTTCCGATAGAGAATGGATCTTGCATACAGGTGCGTCTTTTCATATGTGTCCAAATAAAGATTGGTTCACTACTTACATATCTATAAGTGGTGGATCAGTTTTGATGGGCAACAATGCAGTTTGCAAGACAGTTGGCATTGATACAGTTCGTATTCGGTATCATGATGGGATAGTGAGAACTTTATCAGATGTAAGGCACATCCCGGACTTAAAGAAAAATTTGATTTCTTTGAGTTCTTTGGATTCTATTGGGTGTTCTTACACTGGCGAAGGTGGAGCTCTTAGAGTTACTAAGGGTTCATTGGTTGTGATGAAAGGTAGTAAGGTGAACAGTCTTTATGTTCTCCAAGGTAGTACGGTGACAGGCTCTGCAGGTGTGTCTTCTGATGCTGATAGAGACACTACTCAGTTGTGGCACATGCGCTTAGGCCACATGAGTGAGAAGGGAATGATTAGTTTGAGTAAACGTGGCTTACTCTGTGGTGATCATACATCATCACTGGATTTCTGTGAGCATTGTGTGTTTGGGAAGCAAACTCGGGTCAGCTTCTCGACTGGCTCACATACGACGAAGGACACTCTCGACTACATCCATTCAGATTTATGGGGACCTGCTCAGGTTCCATCCAAAGGTGGTGCTCTTTATTTTCGAAACGTTTATTGATGATTTTTTCAGGAAAGTTTGGGTTTACTTTCTCAGGCGCAAAAGCGAGGTGTTCGAAACTTTCAAGAAGTGGAAAGTACTTATTGAGAATCAAACTGGAAAGAAGATTAAACGTCTCCGAACAGATAATGGCTTAGAGTTCTGCAGTGATGAGTTCAATCAGTTCTGCTCAAATTCTGGGATCGTACGACATCACACGGTCAGGCACACTCCTCAGCAAAACGGGGTGGCAGAACGCATGAATAGAACGTTGATGGAGAGAGCTAGGTGTATGCTCTCAAACTCTGGCTTGGATAAAGGCTTCTGGGCTGAAGCTGTTAACACAGCTTGTTACTTGGTGAATCGGTCTCCTTCTACAGCCATTGAACACAAGACTCCAAATGAGGTATGGTCAGGTAAACCAAATGACTATTCAAATTTAAAGGTATTTGGATGTCCCGCTTACTATCATGTTAGAGAGGGTAAGCTTGAGCCTAGAGCTAAGAAATGCATATTTATTGGTTATGCTGATGGCGTTAAATGCTATCGTTTGTGGAGTCTTGAACCTGATTCTCCTAAATTCATTATTAGTAGAGATGTTACTTTTAGTGAAAGATATATGCTTGATCGTGGGAAGGTTTCTATTGAGTCTACAGGAAATGTAGAGAAGACCATGGATAAGGTGGAGCTTCAGGTGGAGCTCGAGGGAGAGACGTCTCAAAAGTCGTCTATAAAATTTGCTCCTACAGCTGTAGAAGAACAACATGATTCAGGCTCAGATGCTGATGATGCTGAGACTGAAGAACCTTATTCCATAGCCACTGGCAGAGAAAGGAGACAGATCAAACCTCCTCAAAGATATGCACATGCTGAATTAGTGGCGTATGCTCTCACGACAGCTGAAGAGATGAGTATTCAAGAGCCATCAAACTTTACTGAAGCTGTCTCATGCGGAGAATCTGGACGTTGGGCCACAGCTATGACAGAAGAACTCGAGTCACTCTACAAGAATCAGACTTGGGATTTGGTGCAATTACCTAAGGGTAAAAGGGCAATAGGATGCAAGTGGATTTTCAAGAAGAAAGAAGGGATCCCAGGGGTTGAAGATGCTAGATTCAAAGCACGGTTGGTGGCTAAGGGTTATAGACAAAAGGAGGGAATTGACTATGATGAAGTGTTCTCTCCGGTTGTGAAGCATACCTCCATCCGTGTATTGCTTACCATGGTTGCTCTATTTGATCTGGAGCTTGAGCAGCTTGATGTGAAGACTGCATTTTTACATGACGAACTTGAGGAGACTATCTATATGTCTCAGCCAGAGGGATACTTCGTAGAAGGTAAAAAAGATCAAGTTTGCAGATTGAAGAAATCTTTATACGGCCTGAAGCAATCTCCCAGACAGTGGTACAAGAGGTTTGATAATTTTATGCTTAGTCATGGGTACTCAAGAAGTACTTATGATAGTTGTGTGTACTACATGCATCTAGGAGATGATTCTTTTATTTATCTTCTATTATATGTCGATGACATGCTTATTGCTGCTAAGAACATGTCGCAGATTCTTATTTTGAAGAAACAACTCAATGATGAGTTTGAGATGAAAGATCTTGGTACAGCGAAGAAGATCTTAGGTATGAAGATCAGGAGGGACATGAAAGCTGGAACATTATATCTCCCACAGAAGAGCTATATTGAAAAAGTACTTGAACGCTTTGGGGTGAAGAAGGCCAAGCCTGTTACGACTCCTTTGGCTCCTCACTTTAGACTCTTGGCTTCAGATTCACCTACAAGTGAGAACGAGAAGAAGGAGATGTCCCGAGTTCCATACTCTAATGTAGTGGGTAGCATTATGTATGCTATGATTTGCACTCGTCCAGACATTGCCCAGGCAGTCAGTGTAGTGAGCAGATACATGGCTCAACCAGGGAAGGCACACTGGGAAGCAATGAAGTGGATCCTACGGTATCTCAGGGGTACCTCAGATTTGGGTTTAGTTTTTGATAGCAGTACTTTGGGAACCTCAGTTGTAGGTTTTATGGATTCTGACTATGCAGGTGATCTCGATAAAAGAAGATCTTTGACTGGTTATCTTTTTACTCTTTCTGGCTCAGCTATTAGTTAGAGATCGACTCTACAGTCGACAGTTGCTTTGTCTACTACAGAGGCAGAATATATGACAGCAGCAGAAGCGGTAAAAGAGGCCATTTGGTTGAGAAATCTCGTGAGGGAGCTTGGACTTCAGCAGGAGGCTAGTTCAGTTGTATTTTGCGACAATCAGAGCGCAATACATCTAAGCAAAAACTCAGCACATCATGAGAGGACAAAGCATATTGATGTCAGATATCATTTCATTCGTGAGGCAACTGCTGAAAGAAATATCATGATGAAAAAGATTGGTACTGCAGACAACCCAGCTGACATGTTGACCAAACCGATCCCGGCCTTCAAGTTCAAGCACTGCTTGAATTTGGGAGGCATTCGCAGTTGTTAGCTAGCCCCGTTTGGGGCATTGTTTGCAAGAGGGGGTCGAGTTTTACTTGTTCTATTATGAAGTATACTCTCACGTTTAGTTTGGTTGGTGTCGGCTCAGTTTTGGGCAAACGTTCGCCGAGATGGAGATTATTGGTCAAAAACATCAAGCCACAAAGGTGCAGCCACCTTTTGTTGAAAAACAAAGAAAGAAGCACCGAAAGAGAGAGACAGCCACCATTGTTGACAAATCAGGAAGGGTGGCAGCAGGTGTTGACAAAGAGAGTGAGGGCTCACTTTCGGTGATTGACAGAGAGGGGGATTTGAAGCCTATAAAGCCCCCTCCCCTCTCTTCCTCTGAAGGTGTGCGAGGAGTATCCTTGAAGCAATCCTTGACAGAGCCATTTGAGTGAGAGCAAAAACAAAAGAGAGTCTGCTAAAATTTTGTATGTACGTTGTATTTGAGAGATTGAATATAGTGAAAGCCCCCTCTTGCCGTGGACGTAGATCAATTTGATCGAACCACGTAAATATTGTGTTTGTGGTTGTCTCTCTATTCTCTGGTTTAGTGGGTGATTTCCCCAACACCTCCAAATCTATTAAAAACACTTTTCAATATTTTTTTGTCACATCAGAACCTAAAGTCTTAATTTTATATTAGACCAACAAATTGTTGGGTTTCTCCCCAAATCTCATAAATGAGGAGTGCACGGTGTTGATTACGGAGGATTGACTGGTTAGCGAACATCGGAGAATGCAAAGGATGATGGTAACTTCTTGAACTTCTCATTGAAGGCTATAAAAGGGTGTGTATTAGTATAGAGAAAGTCATCCTCTTGTGGGGGATCTGGCTGTGAATATAGTGGATTTCCCTGATGGAGTATCGTGGATGTAGGCATGTTTGGTTGACGCCCGTAATGAGAATAACAAGTTCTCATGTTGCTTGTGCTCCTTGTGGTGTGTGGTTATTTGTGTGCTCCAACAATCCTCAGCACAAATCTTCATATTTCTAAATAACATCCCCAAATCTTTTAATTCCAAGGGTTTAATTACTAGGGCAATAGCTACGGATGTACTCCAACCGGGAATGAGAGAATTTAGTGTATAATATCAACAACAACAACAATTAAAAAAAATAATTAAAAAAAAAACCCAAGTACATTCCAGCATTTCACCTCACGAGCTCGAGATACAGGAAATGCGACGGTGAGAGACTCCGCAACCGCCGGCGAATCGTAACCGCACAT